TCCTGGTGATTTAATAGAACAGAACTACCACGAATAATGAGAATCAACATATAGGTGTGTGCCTGGGCCCAGCTGGAAGAAGCTGATCAGGATCTCCTGGGCTGGGGCTCTGGCACCTGTGGTTTTTCAAAGCTTCCCCCAGGGCCTTAGGGGAAAAGATGGGCCTTATGGGGCCCAGGCGATTCTGATGTTGGGCCAGGGAGGGAGCCCGAAACAGCCCAGGTGGCATCTGAAACAACTGGGAGGTGATGAGCAGCATGATATCATGAAAAGAACGCAGGACTGATGAGATATTAGGGATTTGAAGACTCTTTGTGACTTCAGGCAAGTCGTCTAACATTCAGGGCCTCAGTTTCCCCGCCCATAACGTAAAGATAGAACCTGTGCAAGGGGGGGGGGGAGAGGGAAGGGGCGTTGCTCTGATGTATAGACATGCTTGTAGTACTGGACGCCAAGAGTCCACTGTTGTTTTTTGAGAAAGAACTCATTCAAGAGAAAAGGTAGATAGATGGTCTTAGCCAAGAGTGGTGAGAACATATTTGGGGACAGAACAGAGGAGGGACAGCTCGGGGGACTACTGGTGTTGGCCAGTCAGCCTGGCCCCTGCAGGCTGGTGCCGAGGAAGGCTGGGGACCCACGAACCTTGGTGAGACTCGGGGAGCCTAAGGCCACCAGCGTGGGAACTGACTGTGGCCCTGGGCAGAGGCAGAACCTCCCCTTCGCGGGAGGGCGCCCTGCACCAGGGCTGTCTGGCTCACTCTGTGGGAACTGGTACCTGCCAGGGCAACATCCACTCACCTGCCCTCTCCCCGCCCCCCGCCCCATGTAGCACCTGTCAAGCTTTGGAGACAGCTGCTTCGGATGTCACGGCAGAGAGCTGAACCCAGAGGCCAGACTCAGTTCCCCAGCTCAGGTAGGAGCCTCCTGGGACAGCCCCAGAGGGGACACCCTGAGTCAGAGGCAGGCCGGATTCCGAGTGAATACTGAATAAAGGTAGCTATTATTGTCATTATTATCTCACCACTAGTTAGCGGCTGACATGGGGCGAGCATCCAAGCCTCCTGATCCTGGATCCAATGTTCTTTCCAACACGTCACTCTGAATGTGCACACAGCCAGACTCAGAGCTTGGCAGACAGAACACATGGCCACTGCCCTGGGACCATCAAACTGTGAGACCTGAAAGCAGCGCTGAGCCCTGAGGCACAGGTAGCTGGAGGAAGAGGAGGTCAGCAGTGCAATTTCGGGTCCTTGGGGAAGCCCTCTGGCTGCTGCTGTTAGCATTTCATTAGAGAACTATTAGGAACCAAAAATAGAAGTTCTCAGGGGAACTTAATCCTCTGGGCTTTTATTCCATACAAAACAGTGTCTGGAGAGTTCCATGCATCAACCACCAGAGGGCCCTATTGTCCCGTGAAAGTGGTTGCTGATGGCTCAAAAGTTGTTTCCATGAAAACCCCAGCCTCCTTCAGCAACCTCATGGCCCAGCCTTGTCCTGCTCAGGACCCGGTGGCCGGTCCCCGCCCATCACCAGCTCCTGGTCCTAGGGAAACCTCTTGAAACTCAGCCCCTGCTCTCCTCCTTGGGGACCCTTAAGAGCAGGGACAGTTCTTGCATTTATTTTTCCGCATTTATTTTCCTGCCTTCTTCCCCCACCTAATCCCTCCTGCAGGACCGAGCACAGTGCTGGACACATGGTAGACTTGCAATACCTACATGGTTGGTTGGTGGATGGATATGTGAAATCCAGTGTAACTGATAAATTGTGGGAAGGAAACTGCCTGAGCTTTGAGGGAATGGCGGGAGAGTATGGAGTGACTGATCAGAGAGGGTTATGGCTGATGGTTAGGGGGTCATGACTAAGTGGGAAAGGGGAAGTGAGAGGCTCAAACAGAAAGGCAATGGTTGTATTTCAGGGCTCCAGGCAGTGAAAGGCCGTCCAATGCTGAGGTCACCTTTCCCTGGGGCCCTGGGTGGCGGCACCAGGAACATGGGGCAGGTAGACCCAAGCAGCCCCAGCCATTGCTCAGTTGTCCTCCTGTGAGCCTCAGTAGCCCGATGGCATCCTTACCCTCTCCTGTCCACCAGGCTGTGAGCTCCCACAGGTGGGCCTGGATCACACTGCCTTCCCTCACACGTCCTTAGTCTAAGAGAACTTCTTTCAAGAGAAGGCCGGGAATTTGAGAGTCTCTGCCACAGGCCAGCGTCCTGCGTCCTAATTCCTGCCCTGGGGTGGGCTCCCAGCAGACTGGATCTTCGGTGTAATGAGCAGAGTGGAAGAGAGTGAGACATGCATCAGACCCCAGCTCTAGGACCTATCAGTTGTGAGAGGCATGGTTTCCCTGGTGAGTTACCTCTTGTTCCTGAGGCCTAGTTTGTCATCTGTGAAATGTTCATACCCCCTTGCCCAGGATCAAATGAAGGAGCAAATACTGAGTGTCGGCCCATGGCTCAGGCCAAGCGCAATGAAGTGCCACCATCGAAATCATCATCGGCACAGCATGGGCGTGGACAAGGGCCCACTGGGCCACAGCAGCTCCCACTAATGGGGTGAGTGGGTAGAGGATGCAGGAAGTAGGTTTGGCTGGACGGGACAAGTACAGGGTGGGCTTGCTCACAAGCCAAGAAGATACAGCAAACTGAATATCCCAGGAAGTGGGGATGAGAGAGAAGCAAAAGTCTCCCTCACTAACAAGGGCATGGGTGATCAGGCCAGCTCCAGATAGGACCACCCCCAACACCCGCTGGGGACCTGGGCTTCCACTCTGGGGTACAGGAAACCTCGGGGTCCCACTCCAGGCTCTGCCTCCGACTCGCTGCCAGCCGCTGGGCTTTCCCTCTCTTGGTTCTGAGAGCCCTGCTTCCCTCAGTCTGCAGCTCACTCTGCTTCACCCTGTTGGCAACACTTTTCAGTACTCCTCCCCCAGTGCCCTCCACAGCTCATGCCCCGCCTCCCACCGCCAGGGGCTTCCAGAATCTTGGCCTTGGAGCCCCAGCCCTCCTCTCCTCCTAGAGCAGTATTTCCCAAAGTGTGGTACGCGTACCCCCAGGAGTACGGGAAGTTTGGTGGGGACGTGCACTGCACCGTGCTTAGCTGCGCCTAATTCTACGTTCTCATGAGTACGAGGGGTACTCAGCGTTATGAAAATTATAGAAGGGGTACACATATGTCAAAAGTTTGGGAAACACTGTCCTAGAGGGAATGGTGGTGACCAGAGCAGGGTCTCAGGCGGGGCCTAGATTGAGGAGGAGGGTTGGAAGAACAAGGCCCTGGGCCTGGCTGGAGGGTGGAGCTGGGCCCAGAGCCAGGGCACTAAAGTCTTGGGCAGGGGACCAGACAGCCCAGGTGAGGTCTGGACAGGCCCGGCACAAAGGGCACACCTGATACTAGGCCAGGTCTCTGCAGCAAGGCCGAGTCTCGGGTGGGAGGCTCCTGAAGGGAAGCCCTGGGCTGGGCCAGGCAATCAGAGGAGGACCTCAGTGACCCCACAAGGAGGGGCAGCCACACAGGGACTGGCAGGGATGAAGTCTGAGCAGGCTTCCTAGCGGGTGGTCTGCAAGAAGCCACCAGAGGAGAGGCAGCCCAGACAGCCCCTGCCTGGCTGGATGGGATGGGATGGGAAGGGATGGGATGGGAAGGGAAGGGATGGGATGGGATGGGATGGGATGGGATGGGATGGGATGGGATGGGATGGGATGGGAAGGGATGGGATGGGATGGGATGGGATGGGATGGGATGGGAAGGGAAGGGAGGGATGGGAAGGGATGGGATGGGGTGGGGTGGGGTGGGTGGGATGGGATGGGAAGGGATGGGATGGGATGGGATGGGATGGGATGGGATGGGATGGGAAGGGAAGGGATGGGATGGGATGGGATGGGATGGGATGGAGTGGGATGAGATGAGATAATTACCTTGGGGGAGGGTTTTCTTCCCTCCCAGCCTCAAGGCTTTCTCAGACTGTCCATGCTGGTTACCATCTGCTATGGTGGTTGCTAGGGAAACCACTTACTATTTTTATATGTTCCCCACATGACAAGGCTGTGGAAAGGCTCAGGTGTGGTAGGTTCAGGAGTGATCCTGAAAGCGATGCCCACCGGGCTGGGCTTGGAGACTTTGGCTGGAGGTTGGCAGCTGTTCTGATGCCCCAGGAAGGGTTCCGGGATTCAGATCCACATCTCTGAGTGTGGGTGGGAGAAGTCACCAGGGAGAGGGGTGACCTGGGTGTGAAGGTACCAGTGCGTGCATTCATTCATTCATTCATTCATTCATTCATTTTGTCAAACACAGGAGGTGCTGGGCATTGTACTAGGTTGGCTCAGGACTGAGGGGTTTCCTGGGATGCAGAACTTCCAGTGCAGAACCTGGAAAGCCCAAAAAGGTTGGCCACCCTAGATGAGGCTCTCCCTGTTTGGGGAGACAGGTTCATAAGTAGACAATTACAGCAAAGTGGGTGTCAGCTGCCAGGGATCCCAGAGGAGGGGAAGGCTTCCTGGCAGAGGTGCATCTGGATTGAGTCTTGTAAGAAGGACATATAATTCTTAAAGCAAAAAAATAAAAATGACAAGTAGATGCGGAAGTAGGGGCCAACAGGCAGCAGGCTGTCCAGGATCTTGTTTCTTTCTTTGGGTCCTGCTGACGCACATGGTGTAAATCCCTGGACAGCCCTGAGCTGCACCGCCGTGTGGAGCCTGTTCGGGCTGCCTGGGTTTCTGTGTGTTTGGTCCTGGTCAAGGCTGATCTGGCACCTCCACATGAGACTCTCATTCAGAAAAGACCCTTACTGGGTGCAGGAGGCCTGTGAAGGGCAGGGCAGGGAATGGGCAGAGCTTGAGGTCCTGGGGAAGGAGCGGGAAGTGGGGAAACAGTGGTCCTGGGCCATTCCCAGGTCCTGACGGTGGAGGCCGTGCCCACTCTGCAGAGATGGGCCCTAAGGAATGGAGACCTGCTCTTCATGATGCAGGAAATGGGCAGCACATCCATGAGTCATCTCTTGAGTGTTCTGAGGACTTCTCACCATTTGTGTACATTCCTACATCATTTGTTTTGGGGCAGAAAATCCCAGTGAGGACTAACTACCTCAGCCACATGAACAACTTCGGCCTGAATTCCAAGCCAAAGAATTCTGCTTAATAAGTTCCAGGCCCGTTAGTTTTGGATGGCCATCAAGCTCCCAGCTTCCTGAGCGGGACCCAGGAATTCACCGTTAAAGTCTCTAGTCTGGACACACTAAAGTAGGGGTGTCGAACTCAATCAGAGAAGGGGCCAAAATCTAAAATCCAGCCTAAATCGCGGGCCGAATGGTTTACTGAACAGTCATAAACTGTCATTGTGATGGAAACGCAGCGGAGTGCAGTGATGACAGCGCAGTGCGGGCCACATTGCAAGGCCTGGTGGGATGGATTTGGCCCGCGGGCCTTGTGTTTGACACATGTGCACTAAAGAGTAAAGCAGAAGTCAAACCTGGTCCTCGGAAAGTTCTCCCGAGGGGACTGGTGAGGCAAAAGGCGGCCTTTCTCCAAGTACTTTTGGGCCCATCTGTATCACAGTCTCCCGGGAGCTCATTAAAAATGCAGTTCCAGCCGAGACTGGTTTGACTCAATGGATAGAGCGTCGGCTTGGGGACTGAAGGGTCCCGGGTTCGATTCCGGTCAAGGGCATGTAGTAGGGGGCGTGCAGGAGGCAGCTGATTGATGACTCTCTCTCATCGATGTTTCTAACTATCTCTCTCCCTTCCTCTCTGTACAAAATCAATAAGATATATTTTTTAAAAAATGCAGTTCCAAGCCCTGGCCGCTGAGACTGTTGGTTGAGCATGTCCCATGCACCAAAAGGTTCACCGGTTTCTGGTCAGGGCCCATGCCCGTGTTGCTGGCTCAATCCCCAGTAGAGGGTGTGCAGGAGGCAGCAATTGATGTTTCTCTCTCTTCCTAAAATAAATAAGAACCTTTTTAAAAAAATGAAGTTTGCAGGCCATGTTCTAGAACTACCTGGGGCCTGGACTCAGCATTCTGACCAGTCACCCTAGGAGATTCTGCAGCTTAATGTACAAATTCTCTTTGGGGGGTAGCTGATATTTATTTTAATGAAAGACTAAGTTTTTGTGTCAAAGAAATTCGTCTCTACTGTAAAATCTCCAGGATGAATTGATAACAGGGATCCTCAGCCTTTGGACCAGATAACCGCTTATCATGGAGGACTGTCTGTGCATTGTAGGATGTTCAACATCCTGGGCACCAGAGACCAGTCATGACAACCACAAATTTAAAAATACTCTGGACACGAGCAAATGTCCATTAAAGGGGAAAATCCTCCTTCAAAAGGGATTTCCTCATGAAATCAGGCCCGAGTCTAGTGTGTTGGGTGTCCTTCACTGGCCTTGGAATGACCGCCAGGCCAGGCTCTGCCCACTCTGGACCCAGCCCTCCTCACCACTTTCCAGCTACAAATGGGGCCAAACGAGTTCACTCTCTCCTGGCCGTAGAGGAAAGCCAGACCCTTTACTACCTCCCTCTCCCTTTCTCTATCATCCACCTATCATCCACCTCGGCTCTCAGCTCGTGGGTGCCCCCTGCTGCCTGGCCTCCTCACAGGCAGGGGAGACAGAGCAGGAGGCTCCCCCTTCCTTATAAGTGGTGCTGATGAGGTTCCAAGCAGAGGGCATCTGTGGAAGAATTCTTTTGTGAAAATAAGTTTATTTCTGTGCTTATTCTAAAGCAAACATGGTCACAGTAAGAAATTTGGCAAGTACAGAAAAATATAAAGAAGAAATAAAAGTCACTGGTTAATTCAACCACCCAGAGGGACGCTTAGAGCTGTTATTAGCACCAGGCTGGCGTGTGGGCAGGAGACCCAGGTGGACAGAGCACGTGATCCAGGACAGTAAAGGCATTCGGGTTCCCAGTCAGGCGTCTGCTTCATTCAGACCCAGGTGACCAGAGAGCCAGGCAGCCGATCTTGTAGACTTCGCCTCACCCTGCCAAGAACCTGCTCCTACAGACAGAACATCAGAGCTCGTCCTTTAGATCAAAATGGGGCTGGTCTTCGGGCTTGAAGTCCAGGTTGGGGCTGCCGTCCTCGTTGAGGATCCTTCGGGCCGTGTAGCCGACGATGGGGTATTTGGCTTTGTACACTCTGGTGAAGACGTCATCCAGGGCTTTCAGCTCCTCGGCCGTGAGGCCCGTCTTGAGGAGAAAAACCCAAGAAACGGGCGGGGGGTGGGAATGAGGCAATCATGTTTGGCAAGGCCTCTTGCCATCCCCGCCCTGCTCTCCCCACACTCCTTGTGCAAGAGATAAAAACACCTCAAAAACCAAATAATGGACAACTGACTTTGTAAGTGACAACCCTGTGAGGTGGGGAGTGATGCAGGGGGGAGGGGGGAGACAGGGGAAGGGGGCAATGGCTTCATTGTGTTTTTCTATTGGACTAATGTAGGCATTCAGGACCCCAGAGGACACCAGCCAGGGACAGGACGGGGGTGCACTGGTTCACTCCACGGGTCCCTACGTCCTCCCATTATAGAGTTACACACCCTCCTAAGTCCTTACTTTGTTTCTGTGATGGGGCGGTTTAAGAGCTTGGCTCATCAGCACAGCTGGGTGAAGGCCAGCCTTTCTGTTGGGATTACACAAGCACTGAGGTGGTTTTGGTTCGTGCTTCCTTCTCCTTCACAGAAATGTGAGCGTGTGGGAGACTCAGCTTCTCAACCCCCTTCATCCCCTGAGCTACTGAGGGTGGCCTGGGGAGAGGGTCACAGAGACTAACAGCAAATCTGTAGGAGGTGCGGGTGGCAGTGCTGGGGCTGGGGTTGCCAACGCCAGCTGGAGCCAAACTGTGACGCTCCCTAACATGATCATGAGTTCACGAGTTTGGACTTGACCCTGGGGAGCCATAGAAAGTTTCTGACCAGGAGTGGCACCGTAGGATATCTAGTTCAAGAAAACAGTTGGCCGCCACACCAAGTGGACTGGAATGCAGGCTAGTTAGGAAGTTTTGAGAAAGAAGAAAGAAAGGGAGGGAGGGAAGGAAGAGAGAGAGAGAAAGAGAGGAAGGAAGGAAAGAAAGAAGGAAGGAAGGAAGGAAGGGAGGGAGGGAGGGAGGGAGGGAAGTCGGCCATGGCCAAGGGGTTGAACACTAGACAGAGGCTCAGAGTCTGGCTCACGGTGTCATGGGTGAGGTCTGCGGGATCCAGGGACATCTTGGCTACTCCTCTGGTGGAGTCCTTCCCGGCCAAGGCATTGTAGGGGGCTCCTCGTCCATAAAACTCTGCGGGGGGGAGGAAGGAGCGGGATGTGGGTGTGGGTGTGCACCCAGGGCAGCCAGGCGGCTGCATGAGGCAGTGGCTGGAGGGGCTGGGGGTCTGAGAACCAACCCGACCCTAAGAAAGGCTCCAGGCCAGAGGGAAGGGAAGGCAGTAACCCCGAGCTATCAGTTGGGATTCAAGTAATTCAGAATGTGGAATGAGTCGCATGTTGCTGGGCTGAGATAAAAAAATAACCTCTTAAAAATATTTAAAATCCAAACAAGAAAAATGTTCAGTTTTCTTAAACCTTGGGAGAACCACCCTGGCCGGTTGCTCAGTGGTTAGAGCATCAGCCCACAAACCAAAAGGTCTCAGGTTTGATTCCTGGTCAAATCGGTGTTTCTCTCCCCTCTCCCCCTACTTCCATTCACTCTCTAAAAAAGTAATGGGAAAAAATATCCTTGGGTGAGGATTTAAAAAAAAAAAATGTTGGTAGAATCTAAGTTATTTCCATTCTATATCCTTTGTTTGGTATCAGACAATGAACCATGACAAAACTACTTCTAAAGCATTTGTAGTTACCAGTTGGGAAACCATGAAATGACATTGAAATGTTGTACGATCCCAACTCTTTGTAACGTTTTTCCTCTCACTGCTTCAACTAGGGTAAATCATTAAATACGGATTTGATTTGGGGGCAAAGGACTTGCCCCAAGTCCCCTCCCTCTCCTCATCCCTCCAGGGTCCACCCTGCCGAGCTCCCCAGAAGTAAGGACTCAGAAAGCCAAGCCACTTACCTAGGGGTGTCGAACTCAATCAGAGAAGGGGCCAAAATCTAAAATCCAGCCTAAATCGCGGGCCGAATGGTTTACTGAACAGTCATAAACTGTCATTGTGATGGAAACGCAGCGGAGTGCAGTGATGACAGCGCAGTGCGGGCCACATTGCAAGGCCTGGCGGGACGGATTTGGCCCGCGGGCCTTGTATTTGACACATGTGCTGACTTACCCTTCCCAGAAGTGACATCAAACACCACGCCCTTCACCGCCATGTAAATGGGCTGATCTTCCTAGAAAGCAGGAGAGAAGCTGTGAGGAGGAGGCGAAGAGCCCAGCTTTTCCAGCTCAAGTCAGTAAAATCTCTTCCCTCCTGGGCTGTGCAGAGAGGAGAGGGGTTGGTAGAGTTAAAAAAAAAAAAAAAAAGCAGCTGTAAGGTGTCCTTGGTGTGCCCACTCACAAGAACTTGGAAGAGATAGAAATATCATGACAAGCCCATGGCTATGCCATTCTTTAAAAAAACAAAACAAAACAAAACAAAAAACCATAGGAATTGAAGCAACTGTATGCAGATAAAAGTTTAAAAGAATATTAAATGGCCGAAACCGGTTTGGCTCAGTGGTAGAACGTCGGTCTGCGGACTGAAGGATCCCAGGTTCGATCCGGTCAAGGGCATGTACATTGGTTGCGGGCACATCCCCAGTAGGGGGTGTGCAGGAGGCAGCTGGTCTATGTTTCTCTCTCATCGACGTTTCTAGCTCTCTATTCCTCTCTCCTCCTCTCTGTAAAAAAATCAATAAAATATATATTTAAAAAAAATAAGAAAATAAAAGAATATTAAATGATGAATTATTTAAATCATTCCAATTTTTCTTTCATCTTGTGAAAGAAAATGAAAATGTACATACATGGACATCATCAGTGTAAATTATCTATTTTATGTTTTGCTTTTTTAAAAATATACTTTATTGATTTCAGAGAAGAAGGGAGAGAAAGATCAATGATCAGAGAAAATCATTTCTTGGCTGCCTCCTCCACGCCCCATCCTGGGGATCAAGCCCGTAACCTGAGCATGTGCCCTGACCGGGAATCAAACCATGACTTCCTGGTTTATAGCTCAACGCTGAGCCATGATGGCTGGGCATGTTTTGCTTCTTGTAGGTGACGTTACTTCATATAAACATTTTCATGTATTGAAATAACCAAAACGGCTGCCCCTTAAACAGCTATATTTCATATTAGTGATATTGTATACCTGTTTGTTTAGCTATTCTTTTATTTTGGGTATTTGGGTTGTTTCCAATTTCTTAGAACTATCAAGAGCAGCATTATGAATATCTTTCTATGAGTGAAAGATACTCTGATTTGGTGAATTATTTCCTTGAGGCCTGTTTCAATATGTGGAATTCCTGAGCCAAAGTTTATGAACAACATAATCGCCTTTTATATTTTACCAGTTTGTCCTTCAAAACACAATTTGCCGTGTGAGGAAAATACAAGTAATGCTGTTTCCCCACAGTTCTGGGAAATTCTATATTTTATTTTTTGT